GAGGCGAGTGTGGTGGTGGCCGGCGCGCGGATGGAGAGGGCGAGCGAGAAGGAGGCGAAAGGGAGGAGGCTGGGGTCGTCGCGCGGCTGGGCGCCGGCGTCAGAGTCGGACGCGGCGGCCATGGTTGGTGAGATGGGCGACCGAGTGAATGAGAGGAGGTAGGGATTTGGTGGTGTGTGGGACTGCGGATGAGGAGTGAGATGCCGGAGAGGTGCGGGTGGGTCGGAGGGAAGGAAGCGGGGGGTAGGTGGTGGAGAATTTTGGACCCCACCAACCATTTGGGTTTTACCAGAATCCAGATCGAACCTATTGTCAAGAAAGCTTTCGTTCTTATAAGTAAAAAAAAAAACAATGCCAGTGTAACACAGAAACAAAATCAGAGTTCTATGTTTAAATCTATTGGCAAGCGATATCGTACTATTTTGGTTAATTTGTGGCCGTACTATTTATAATATACATCACGTAGTTCTTCGTATTATGGCGGAGTATTTTATGCGTAGAAAGATAGGACATACCGATATTTACATGATATTTAGATCTTTCTCAAACACACATCACATGGGTCTTTATTGAAGCTACCAAACTTTAAAACATTTCGATAACAAATGCATCATTTTGCACCATGCATTTGATTGAATCCACCTGCATGAATTATATGAGATGAATATGGTAAGGTGCAGCTAACGACATGGCATCATTTGACATGGGTGAATACTGAATAGTGCAGAGGAAGTGGAAGTTCTTGCTTGTCGTGAGGGCCTTGAGCTTGCTGCTGTGTGGTGCATAACGCAGGCTATATTCTTGAAACAGAGTGTAGCAGCATAGCCAACATGCTAAAACCTCAAAGAACCGACGTGAGTTTTATCATTAAAGAAGCAATGGATGATGGAGGTACCGATTTGGGAAGCCGTCCACATGAAAAAAAAAAGTATCGCACAACTGGCAAAATGTACTAGACACTTAGGCCTCGTTCGCTGGTCTAAAACTTGACTAAAACTAGCTGTTTTTATGAGAGAGAAACACTGTAGCGCCTGGTTGATAAACAGTGGCTCGTGAGGGGATCAACCGGCTGATCTGGTTTTACCAGACCAGCGTGCCATTTTAATACCCAGTGTGTCGAGCAAGTTATTGTTTAGGATTAATTATAATTATGAGTAATTAATAAACCTTTATTTTTCTAAAAAAAAAATTTTGTACATTAATTCTCGTTTCCCAGGAAGTCAATCAATTTAAACTTTGACCAAAATTATATAAAAAATACTAATATTTCTAATGCAAAATTAGTATCATTAGATTAGTCATAGAATACATTTTCATAATAAATTCATTTGGAGACATAAATATTAATATTATTTACTATAAATTTGATCAAACCTGAGCTATTTTGATCGGCACGGATCCTATAATTACTTTTTTTTTTCTGAGTACAACCTAGCAAGTTTGGTTATTATCTCCCAAACTCATGCCTATGCCCATGAGTCATTCGCGGCCCGTGGCTGTGGGTCGCCAACCGGTTTTGGACACATATCGAGCTTGTTAACAATAAAGGTATATATCATTCATGGTTGCAAGTTTAGGAAGTTAAAAACAGGCGGTTGTTTCTCTATATATATCACACATCTAGTCGTTCAACACGTAGATAGTACGTAATCATATGAATTTTTGAAATGGACTAGAACTTTAAGACTAAGGTAACAACCCAACATTTTAGCAATCGGGTGCGGATGCCTGGTTACATCGGGTTTGATTGATTGCTTGCGTTAGTCTTAGTCTGAATTAGACCTTAAGCAACATACATCCTGTTCGCTCTGTCGTATTTGGCTTATAAGCCATGACTTATCAGCCAACGAACATTATTTTTCTCTCACACCAAACCATCCAATAGTACTTTCAGCCATGGCTTATAAGCCAAATAAGCCCAAACGAACAGGGCGACCTAAGTCAACGTAAACATATGCATTGTCTCGGTGTTTGTTTATTCTCCACAAGCAAGTCGCATTTGATAAAGTTGTGTTTAGTTGCTTTACATTTCGTTATTTCGTTGCATGTCACCTTCATATTCTAGTTGAGTCTCATATATTTTAGTAGAGATGTGCGGATGAGAATATTTTACTTTTGCATATGTATTGTCTTGTGTAAAATTGCATTATCTAATACGATCAAATCTGACACACAGTAAAATAGAACATGGGATCTTCTTTGAGCATCAAACAAACTGCACTATATAGATTGGTAGATGCAACTAATCAGACCCATATAAATATTTCTTAGGGTACGACAGCCACCGATGACGACACCGATGGACACCCACAACTATTGTCCTAATCTAGGCTCCGGGAGCGAAACGTAAATCCATACCAAACTGAAAAAGAGAATAGAGAGAATATATGAAAACTAAGTGCACACTATCATAATTTTCTAAGTGAGGGCAACTAAGGGTTTACATCTAAGGCTATTTCTTGAGTTTAGAAAAGAACTTGGTTGACTTTGACGCGGGCAAGCGGCCTCAGTTCAGGCATGAACTCTAGAGAAATCTAGGTGCTGTTTAGTTTCCAAAATTTTACAAAATTTTTCAAGATTCTTCGTCACATCGAATTTTTGAACGCATGTACGAAGCATTAAATATAAATAAAAAATAAAACTAATTACACAGTTTAGACGAAATTCACGAGACGAATCTTTTAAGCCTAATTAGACTATGATTGGACACTAATTACTAAATAACAACGAAAGTGCTACAGTACCATTTCCAAAAAAAAAATTCGTCGAGTAAACAAGGCCCTAGCCATTTATAATTTTTACTGTAAACCATCTTTGTTTTTTAGGAGATACTGTAGCCATCTAGTTGGGGAAGAAAAAGAACCGCCTTGGGACCACCTTTATTTTGACACGGCCGTGTCTTACTGTTTGTGGGCTGGGCCTCATGTCTCCAACCTTGTGACTCGATCCGATCTTCTCCGTTCCTCGGTCCCCTCCCCAAATCCACCGCCATCTCCGAGCCCTAACCCCAACCTCGACCGCCCATGGCAGCCACCGCAGCCTCCTCGGCCGCCGCCGCCGCCGCCGCGTCGAACTCCGATGAGGAAGAAGACTATGAGGAGTACATCCCAGTCGCCAAGCGCCGGGCCATGGAGGCCGAGCGCCTCCGCCAGCTTCGCCTCTCCAAGTCGGCGCCGACCTCCGCCGCCTCCACCCTCCCGCTGCCGCCTCCTCCGCCTCTTTTGCCGGCTCAGGCCTCCGTTCCCGACGCCGCCGCGAAGCCCAGCCTTCTCGTCACGGCCACGCAGCTTAAGCGCGCGGCCCCGGAGGTGACCGCCACGGAGCAGCGCATCCAGCAGGAGAAGGAAGTGATTGAGAATCTCTCAGACAACAAATCCCTCAGGTCAGTCCGCGAGATCGCCAAGGGCATCATCTACACGGAACCGATCCAGACCGGGTGGAAGCCGCCCCCTCCGCCTCCGCCGGATGCCGCTCGCCAAGGCCAACGAGCTCCGCCGCAAGTGGCACATCATCGTCGACGGTGACGATGTCCCGCCTCCTGCGCGTGATTTCCGGGACCTCCGTCTCCCGGAGCCCATACTCCGGAATCTGCGCGAGAGGGGTATCGTCCAGCCCACGCCCATCCAGGTGCAGGGGCTGCCCGTTGTGCTCTCTGGGCGTGACATGATAGGCATCGCGTTCACGGGGTCGGGGAAGACTCTGGTGTTCGTGCTGCCACTTATCATGGTGGCGGTGCAGGAGGAAACGTTGATGCCGATTGTGCCTGGGGAGGGCCCGTTTGGGATGATCATATGCCCATCACGGGAGTTGGCTAAGCAGACCTATGATGTGATTGAGCAGTTTCTCATTCCACTCAAGGAGGCCGGATACCCGGAGATAAGGCCTTTGCTTTGCATTGGGGGTGTGGATATGAGGACACAGCTTGATGTGTTGAAGAAGGGCGTGCACATTGTGGTGGCAACGCCCGGTCGGCTCAAGGATTTGCTTTCCAAGAAGAAGATGAACCTTGACAACTGCAGGTAAGTGTTCGATGCAACAGAAACATGTTTCCGTAGCAAACTCTTGGGTATCTTCATGTTATCTGTTTAACGGTGTGCCAATGTGAATATCTGAACAAAACTTTGTGTTATAAGTAATAACCAGCACAATCTAATATCAAAGTTTAGCTTGGTCACTCTTTTCATGAACCCTGTTCTAATAAATTGAAAAAATATGGACCTGCTTGCAAAATGTGTTTGTGGCAGCACACAAGTTAGGGTGACTATTGAATCTGTTTTATTTAGTTTTCTTTGTACTAGAGTGGATAATAAGCCATTGCATATCATATTGTCATGTAGGACATGGTGTTATGTTGTATGCAACATATAACACTTGCACAAAGAGATCCACATATAAATTTGCACCATTTTCTAGGGAAAGAGGAGCATATGTTCTCATAGATCAGTATTCAGTACTTTCAATCAGCAATTGTTTTTTAATTATTAATCTGATTAACAATTCATTATCAAACAAAAGTGATATGTTTTTTTAGTAAAAGTCCTACCATGAAAAACGAGCATTTAAAGTATTTCTGTTACAATTATTTTGTAGCTGTCATTCTGCTTCTAGTTCAGCAATGATTTTTATCAAGTGCCGCAGAATGCTGTAGCAAGCATCTCAGCAGCTGGACCTACAATCCGGTCACTATACCCAGATTTCAGATTTTAGCTTGCATTATTTATCTTCCGCTAATTTGTTCCTTACAGCTGAATGTAGTTTTGGTATCCAAAAGTCTTTGGAAGATGCCCCTTTTAAAAAATCTATCGAGCAAACTAGATCCTTATCCCATGTGGCCATGTGTCAGTGCTTTATGTTTCCAGTTCAGACTTGATTCATTCAGTTGGTTGGACTATATAGAGCGTAAACTGCTAAATCTCTGACTCTCTTGAGGGTTCCCACCATTCCACCAATTGTTGTACATGGTTCCAAGTTACTTAATGTCCCTTTTATGATCTGTGCAGGTACTTAACCTTAGATGAAGCGGATAGGCTGGTTGACCTAGGATTTGAGGATGACATCAAGGAGGTTTTCGATCATTTCAAGGATCAAAGGCAGACCCTTCTTTTTTCTGCTACTATGCCTCAGAAGATTCAAAATTTTGCGAAGAATGCCCTTGTGAAACCAGTTACTGTCAATGTGGGAAGAGCTGGAGCAGCAAATCTAGATGTCATTCAAGAAGTCGAGTATGTCAAGGAAGATGCTAGAATTATATACCTCCTTGAATGCCTCCAGAAGACTCCACCTCCTGTTCTCATTTTCTGTGAAAACAAAGCTGACGTCGACTACATCCATGAGTACCTTCTTCTAAAGGGAGTGGAGGCTGTTGCTATCCATGGAGGAAAAGATCAAGAGGAGAGACAGAACGCAATTGACTTCTTCAAAACTGGAAGGAAGGATGTTCTGGTGGCTACTGATGTTGCATCAAAGGGTCTTGATTTCCCTGACATCCAGCACGTCATTAACTATGACATGCCTGCCGAAATTGAGAACTATGTCCATCGAATCGGTCGAACTGGTCGATGTGGGAAGACTGGCATAGCAACTACCTTCATCAACAAGAATCAAACTGAGACCACGCTTCTCGATCTCAAGCACCTGCTGAAGGAGGCTAAGCAGAGGATTCCACCGGTGTTGGCGGAGCTCAACGATCCATTGGAGGATGAGGAAATAATTGCCAAGGAGAGTGGTGTTAAAGGTTGTGCATATTGTGGTGGGCTTGGCCATCGTGTCAGTGACTGTCCGAAGCTGGAGCACCAAAAGTCCATGGCAATTGCTGGCTCGAGAAAAGACTACTTTGGCGGCGGGGGTTACCGAGGAGAAATATGATTGCTCTAGGTTGATGCTTGCGTGTGGTTATCAGGAGCTAAGGTGCTGCAACTTCAGCTCAAACATGTTACATGTATCAGCTAGCCAAGGCTCCTCCCTTGTTGTTGAAGGAAGACGGTTTGTATTAACGAACCTTGTGATATGCTGGGTATACACTGCGTGCTACTGACCTACCATATATCTTGTTTGATGGAGGCAAGTAGATTATCCTGCCCTCTTGTAAAATGTAACCAGAACAATTGCTGGTGTATGTTTCTTAAAGGAATGTCGTGAAGCACCAGTTTTAGCCCCTTTCTGTAAGCAATCGACATTTCAGATTAACTCATGTATGTATATTTTGATTTGTATGCTATATTTCCATCTTATGTCTGCTTTGGCATATGGCAGGCAATACTTCCGAGTGTCACCTGCACTCTGGGGTGCCTTCTTGGTTTTACCAGCTATCTACCATGCAACAGAGTTTAAAAAAAATGTTTTGTCTAAAAAGAACGAGTATCCGTGCTTATTTGCCCAACAAAAATTTTAACCATGCCCCAGATTTGGGAAATATACCATCTTGGGCGTGTTGTACATCAGTTTGTGATAATCCATATGATGATAGCCGCTCTTGGGCGTGTACATCAGTTTGTGATAATCCGTATAATGATAGTCGCGATTCTGATATTATTATTAGGTGTGATTTAGTACGCCCCATTTTCCTCATTCCTATCTGATGTACAACACTCCCTCTTGGACTACAGAGGCCCCCGCCTGCGCCTGTCAGTTCCAGGACAGCAGACTCATTGTGGGCGTGGTGCCTTGCAGGCTGGCGCCAATGCCTGTAGCTGGTGGTCTGCTGTGCTTCGCTGAGCTGGGTGAGGAGCAACCTGACTTTCTGAGTCCCCTGAGGAGACAGTGGAGGAGCCGAGCTAGCTCTATGAATGTGCATCTGATCTGAAAGTTGCCCATGGACTGCGGTATGATGAGCCAGAGCACTAGTATCCCCAACCAAGAACCTTGTTGCAGACTTGGGCTGCCCTGTGAGACCTCTGCACTGTTGTGGCTGTAATCAGCAAGAGCTGCTCCCGTGCCTGATTGTTGAGCGCCATCCAAGCCATACCGATCTTTGGAGTTAGAATGCAGAACCGACAGGCCATATGCTTGATTATTAACACTATCATAACAGAATTTTACATGAACCAATACGGACGGGTAAGGACTTTTTTTATGCTATATATACGATAGCATGGATTCCAGGTTAGACACGTTACTCTACTCCACATAAAAATAAATATAAAACTACAAATATAATAAAGTTGTTACTCTGCTTCACATGAAAATAAATATCAAACTACAATATAAAGTTTTTATTGGACCATTAGAACGTGGGTTGCCATAAGATCTGGCTACTGAAACCAACGATTCAGATATCATCGCTCGCGCCAGCCACTTGGCCGTGGGCATCAAATTCACTTCGTTCCATGTTCGATCAGTTGAACATACACAAATCATCCAAATTTACTGGCGTCTGAAAAGTGGGGATGCATACAAGACAGGCGACCCTAGTCAACCAGTGGCCAGTGCTAATCATCATAACTGAAATATAGCATCCATATCATTTGGACCATGTGTGGTGATTAGCGAAAGCAATAAATAACAGACAAAACTACTTGCACCAAAATTTCTCTGCTCTTATAAACCAGTGGTGTGAAACCTTTTCCTATGGGTCATTAGCTGCAGCTGGAACCCATTTTCGCTATGAGAAGAATCCCTATAAACTCCTGGAGGCATGCACTTGCAAATTCGGTGTGGGAACATAAAATTCGGATCAGCTCTCCTTTTAAGTCTTCACTTCTGACCAAATGAAGCCATTGACAAAAAGACGACTGTCTCATCACTTTCTCTTTTGTGAAGTTGCCCCCTTTCCTTGTTTGGCAAAGGCTTTCTTTGCATTCCAGTTTGGGGTTGCTCTCTGAATGACTCGTTTTGGTTCATCAGGCTTCTCATGGGGATTGACCTCCTCATATTGTATTGGTTTGATGATAACACCGGGCTTCTTAACAATCTGAAAGGATGGGAGGTACAAGTGAATAGAAGCATAATTTGGTCAGCATGCAATCTTATAAATGAATGGTATGAAGGTGCATTTCTAATTATCAAAATAAAAAAAGTAGGCCATGGCGACAGAACATTGTACATATTTTTTTCTCTAAGTACAAATGCTTTAGTAAGTAAAAGATTTATGAATTATCATCATGGTAGAATGTCAATCATGTGATGTCTCTATTTACTACTGTGTCTACAGTTTTGATGTTCGCTACAGGGAATGCCCTCTAGATGGAAGCTCGATGGCATAAACAAACATCAAGGTTGCACATCTGAAACAGTAGGTATTTCATTGTAAATGCATATAGTGCAAATCAGAGAAGGCAATACTGTAGCTCTCAAAGTAGATTATTGAATCACATGTTTGATTTCTGCTGTCCTCAATTCTATGAGCTAGTAATAATAATTCTTAGGAGTTCCATGTATCAGCTAGATGCACTCACCGCAGGTCGATTGAGAGCAGAAACCGATATCACTGGGTTGAAATCAGGCCCAATAGGCATTCGGATGCTCTGCTCATATGCATCTTTCGACGTGAAAGGGAAAGGCAAATTCCTTGCTAAATACTTTTCAACCTGCAGAGTGAAAACCGTAAGATTATTTATTGATAAAGCATTTCTAAAAAAAACTAAAGGACATCTAGTGAACTAAGATTCTTGTTCCAGAATTGTAATGGAACAGCAAAGGTATACACTTTACATAAACAACAGAAACATAAACCACACTGAGCATGTGTATGTAACGACTCAAATACAGCTTTACCTTCTTATCTACATGTTCAGAAATAATGACGTGCTTAAGCTTCGAGTCCTTCCTCCTCTTCAAGGCTTCTTGTCTATTTCTTTTAGCAACTTCATGTTCTTTTATCATCCATGAGGGAAGTCCTTTTTTCTGTTGGATGTCTGTCCACTGGCCCCAGCCAGGAACAAGAGCAGGCTTTTCAGGTTCAGGATTCTCCTCATTTAAAACATCCATTTTGTCTTTGTCAAATTCAGCTTCAACATCATCACCAGCAAAAGCCTGACGTATGAGATCAGCTTGCGATGGAAGTTCATAGTTCTCCTTTCTGTCAGAGATAGTCAAGAAGCCCTCAACCATCTCTTCCTCAGAATCTGAATCAGAATTGCGATCCTGTTGCTACTCAAACAACAATGTGCAAAACGAAATAAGCAAAATAATGAATGGACCTACAAATAGGAACTGTAGACCATAGTTAAGGCAAACCTTATGCTTTGGGTCTACAATAGAAGGAACTGGTAATTTGGATTTATTGGTAATGCCATTGCCATTGCTCTGGCCATTTCCTTTATTACTTTTGACCTGGTGAAAACAAGAGTTAACAAGCTTAAAATAAAATAAGACAAGGAAATAAACAGCTACCGCAAGATACCAGAATGGCTACCTTCTTCCATGAATCACCAGCTAACATTCCAACTTCAAAAGTTGTCTTAGAACCAGGATTTTTTATGATATCATTAAAGCTCTACATAATGCAACAAATGTATATCAGATTACATTATCCAAAACACATGGTACAATAACTTGAAGGTATGAATGTCTTACTTTGTATATATCATTCTGCGGTTCATCATCCAGTAGTGCATTCCCCAATTGGATATCATCATGTTTCATATTTCTTCATTATTGCTCAAATGTTGGGCAGGCTCAGAATCATACTCGCTATCACTGCTGTTTTCAGTATCTTGTAATTTTCTCCTCTTCTTGAACTCTTCACGTGTATTTTTGACAGGCCCAAATGTTCTTTTACCTGACACCTTGATTGAGTCTTCATTCTGTTCAGTGTTATTCTCCTCCAATTTCTTCAAGGAATCATCGTATTCTTCAAGAGCCTGTCGTGCTTCCTCATAAGTTGCATCCTCACGCCTTTTCATAGCACGCTCCTGTAAATAAGCAGAGAAATGCGATTATGGTGGTGACAGAAGCCCAACAGTGCTAACAAATGTACTTTTTTTCTAAACAAATGCACAGACAGCATGCGTAATGAAAACGCACCATGAAAGGCAACGAAAAAAACTCCAGAATTCGGTATCTCATTGTCTTCTTCAAGAGCTTTAAGAATCTTTTCTTTCCCTCTGTTTAAGATTTTTGCTTCTGAGTCACTCTCGCCTTCATCGTCATCTGAACTTTCTTCACTACTAGAATCATCTTTCATGGAATTCATTTTTCTAGTCAGAAGAGTATTTTGTTGGAGCTGTGCTGCAATAGCAGCTCGGGTGCCTTCATCTTGAACAGACAATCCACGCTTGATGATTCGCTTTGCCCATTGTGATGTATTCTTGTGCTTTAATGTCATCCTTTCCTATAATATTTCAGATAAATTAGCGACGTTGGTGGGGGAGACCAATGAGGAAATTATCCTATAACTGAGAAAAAACATGAGTAATGATTTACCTCTGCCCGTTTAAATTCTTGTTTCCTAGCATGATCTTTGACAGCTTCAGGATCTGCCTCGAAATCTGCTGATGCTGCCTTCAATTTGTCCTTCTTCAACATCCGGTGATATGTCCTGGACTTGATCTTTTTCACACGCTTTGCTTTCATCTCATGGCGAAATAGAAGGCTGCGCATCTTAGCAAGGCGGTTTTATGCGTTCTCTCACATCTTCCACATCAATCTACATAAGTTCATTAACTTATTTAGAAAGAATGTTCCATGGTTTCGAAAATAATGTAATAGTAAACATGTTAAGCGTGCATAGCAGTCAGCATTGTTATAGAACCTAGTTAACATCAGTAGAACTAACGCAGTGCAATGAGATCATCAAAGATACCTTGTTAAGTTCCAGGATTTTGGCACCATCGTTCTTGTGTGCTTCTATTATTTCAGTGCTTTGCGTAATCTCAGCAATCCTCTTCTCAAACTCAGTCCTTGGTTGAAATTCGCTAGCAATTGCCGCAACAGTGTTCACACCCAAGTTGGTATCATTTTCAAAGTATAGTACAGGAGCTTCCCTGTTAGTCTTAACAATTCCTTCCCACTTTGTTAGCTCATTCTTGGATTTCTGAAACGTCACGCTGCGCTCAATCTTGTCCCTCTCTACTTTTGGAAGTGGGGCTAGCACGACCATCGGCTTTTTCTCCTGCTGATGCAGCCTCTTACGGATCTTGCTATACCCAGGTTTTCCCTGGACATTGTCCAAGAGATCATGAATTGTGACAGGTCCATCCCCATCACCATGCTGCAGGGGCAGCTCCAATGGCTGTTTCCTCTTCTTTCCTGTTTTGACAAATTTATTTCAGATTTTGAACCCCAAATGATACACACTAATTCAATTTTGACCACCAGTTTCATATCCTCCCATGAAAGGGGGAGATTGTTAGTACATTTTTATAGTTTCAGTGCAGTAAACATCATTTATTCAAGAGAGCTACAACATTGTTTAGCACCTCGCAGTTTAGCAGGGAAAAACTCCTTTTAAGCCTTCAGCAAAAAATCAATATGTATGAAAATGTATATGAGTATGCAATGTCAACAGGATAAAAAGGCAAAAGAGCTTACCGTCGAAGGCTTCTCTGGGCATTCCGGTCGTCTCCTGAAGTATTCTTATCTGCTTGTCCTCGTCATCACCGTCGTCATTGTCATCTTCCTCCATATCCTCGCCTTCGTCCGAAGGCACATCCTCATCCTAGAAAAACGCAAATGCGAACATAATTCGGCGCGAGTTCAAGACCAACTCAAATGCTTATAATAATAACATCATCTCATCAACGTCTTCGCTAGTGGCCCAGTGCATCGAGTAGGAGGGGTCACCACACCGCATCGGAGGCGTCGCTGTCGAAATTGTACTCGTACTTGGCGACGGCGTCGTAGCGGCCGTTCTTGCCGGCCTCCTCCTCGGGCACCCCTTCCTCGTACTCGTACACGTCCTCAGCCACCTCGTCAGACCCCTCCTCATCGTCGGAGCCGCGGGCAGGGCCAGGCCCCATCTCGTCCAGCTCCCGACGCATCGCCTTGGAGAGCTGCGGCCCGTGGCGCTGCCTCTTCCCTTGGCCGGGGGCGGGCTTGCCGCGCCCCATGGCGGCCTTTTTCGGCATTGGGGTCACGAGCAGAGCGAGGGAGGATCCGGCCGGTAAACGAACGGCCGGCGGCGTTGCGGGGGACTGCGGCGGCTCTAGCAGAACGCTGAAGCTGAAGGCGTCGGGAGTAGGCCGGCGGCCGTGTCGAGCGGCTGGCGGCTAGGGTTCGCTCGCGAGGAATGAGGTGTGTTAGATTCTTGGGCCGGGACAAGATGTTTCTCCAGTTGGGCTGCAAGACAAACTCAGGTGAAGCCGAAGGAAGCACGTCTGAGCCCAATAGAGTTATCGGGCGAAGTGCGTTTGACCTCCGAAGTTCGGCCGATTTGCCTCCTCCATCAGAAAATCGTTATTTTATCTGTTCTGCCATCCACTAAAAAAAAAATCCAGGCTGACTAATCAGCGAACGTTGACCCCCGATTCATTTTGGGTGATCGATCGGACAGCTGCAGCAATTTCTATTTCAGGAAAAAAAACCGATCCCACGTCTTTCCATTTATGGCACACAGCGCTCCTTTTCTTTTCGGGTGCACAGACATGCCGGTATCATTTTTTTTTCACGCGCGCGCATGCGAAGCTGTCGTTCTCTTTCCTCTCGTGCATAACCCACGCTAACTGAGTTATACAGCGTAAGTAAGTTAAACGTGCTAAGTTATACAACATTTTTTTCGCTATGACAATAACATTCTCTTTAGGTTTTCATATATTTTCTTCGTTCCAGAAACTAATCATTCGGGAACATAAAAAAGGGTTTAAAAAAGGACGTGGGAGCAAAATAAAAGTAACTTTTACATACTATACTACACAAAAAATTCCATAAGATGATAATGCAAATTTCAATAACAAGTTACATAATAGATTTCCATAACTTCTCGGTGTTTTCAATTGGATGATCCGCAAAATATTTAATATTTAATATTTAAAATCATAAATACAAATAATAAAGTTGACAACAAGAAACACATAACTTAATAGAAAAAACTAACATGATTATCTAGAATAGTGTGATAAAACATGAAACTAGGTACAGTAAGTTAAATCAAATAAGTTATGTAGCATACACATGAAAACACAAGTTAGATACATAACTCTATACAATAAGTTAATGAAATAAGTTAGGTAGCATACACATAAAAACACAAGTTAGGTATATTACTATCGGTCTTTCGAACAAACGCCAACTAGTAAATTTATATTTGTTGCGCGTTAGGCTCGGATAGTGTACTAAAGGACACAAGGTTTATACTGTTTTGGGCAGAATGTCCCTACGTACAGTTTGCTGCTGCTCGTGTTATTAGTACCGAAAAAGGTTCGTAGTAGGGGGTACAAACGGTCGAGAGAGGGACATGTCTCAAGTCTCTGATGAAAAGGTCGAAAGGATGCCAAGAGCTCGGTTGTTGCTTGGCTGTGTGTGTTGTGTGTGGAATCGATCCGTCTCCTTAGTAGAGTGTCCTGCCCTCTCTTTTATAGACCAAGAGGGAGCAAGGATTACAGATGGAAGAAAGATGAAAACACCAGAGGGTAGAGAAGGTCCTTCGAAGGAGCCGGGTCTTCCTTTCCCCTTGTGCCTGCCCTGCTGACATGGCAGATCGTGTCAGGGATGGCATGTTCGCCGATCCTTATAGGGACATGCCCTGGCCCCATTCAGCAAGTGGGTACGTCCCATCCTATACCGTCGGACGGTGCGGCGTGCCAGGGAACCGAGCTGTGACCCTACGGGGAGTAGACGGGGAAGTGGCCACACGTCCATCACTGTAGATGATGTGAGTTCTCCCTTGGATTGTAGTGGTTGTCATATGCTTGTGTCAGGATCCGAGCCCGAGGGCTGATGGCGGCGCCCACAACACTGTAGGACAAAAGCCGACGCCTACAATACTATTCGGGCTCTGGTATGCCTGAGAGGGCTTAAACTGCCCGTCCTGTCATACCCTGACAATACTTTCTCGCAGGTGTGCAGGGCATGGTCCTCGGTACTACGATTGACCAGAGTGTCCTGTCTTGTTCGGTGCTCGTCATCATGAAGGGGCAGGGTGCAGACGTCGGGCGAGGCGGAGCCAGCCCTAGAACGTCGGGCGAGGTGGAACCAGCCCTCAGCTGTCGGGCGAGGCGGAGCCAGCCCTCAGCCGTCGGGCGAGGTGGAGCCTGCCCTTCAGACGTCGGGCGAGGCGGAGTCCACCCCTTAGGGGCCGGGCGAGGCGTAGGGCAAGAAGTGTAGTTGCGTTCTTGCCTGTTCGGGAGCATCAGCACTTGATGGTTATTAGCTCCATCTCATTGGGTACCCCAGTATTAGGTCCCTGACAGTAGCCCCGGAGCCCACGGGTGATTCGGGTAGAATCGCCCAAGGGGTGATTTGACCTGACCAAGGGTGTGCGCGAGTGCACCCGACGGGTGTAGCCCCCGAGCCCCCGGATGATTCGGACAGAATCGCCCGGGGGGTATTTCGATTCGCTAGAGGGTGCGCTCGAGCGCACCCGTCGGGTGTAGCCCCCGGGTGATTCGAACAGAATCGCCCAAGGGTATTTCAGACCCTTCGTAGGTATGGCTGTGAAATTTAGTGTTTTTTGACATCTGGATAGTCTAAAGGGAACCCTGGTATCCCGTTCGCGGGGATTCATCTAGGGTCAGCCCGGTTGGGACTTGATTGCGGATCGAGACCTCTTTGAGGCTCGTGCGCCTGAGTTTTGGCCGCTCGTGGGACCATCCCTCGTTGGGACGACCGTCGAATTTATTGGGCCAGCCCTCAAACTCCTGGGCCCGGGCGGGCTGGAGGAACGCCTTTTGTCCCATATCCCCTCCGCGAGAAAAGAGTTCTAGTCTGCCCGGGAAGGCAAACTGTCCGGCGCAATTTTGGTGGGAAAGGATAGGGACTGTGGGCGCATATCCCGCGATGTGACGTGGTGGTGTGTCATGGCAGGCACGGAGATCTAGGAGGATGGTTGCCCTTCTTGCATCCGTCGCCCCTATAAAACCAAGGGGTTCGCCCCCAGGGTTCCATACTTCGCCTCCTCGCCTTCGCATCTACAACTTCCGTCGCTAATCGCCTGAGCTTCCCGCATCCGCATCGCAGCCACCGTCAAGCTCGCGTCCACCCCCTCCCAATCGTTTGATGGAGCCGTGGTACAGATCCGACATCACGCCTCAACGCCTAGAGGGCCTCGTTCGCCGTGGCCTCCTTTGCCTGCTGACCGCCGTCGAGGAGTGGCGGCTGCTCGGTAATGAGGACAAGCCATCGCCGCCCGAAGGGTATGTCGTGTCCTTCACTCACTTCCATGAGCGGGGATTCGCCATACCTGCCCACAAGTTCCTTCGGGGGCTGTTGGATTACTACAAGGTGGAGTTGCAGCACCTCACTCCCAATGGGGTCTAGCACATTACGGAGTTCATCGCCCTATGTGAGGGGTTCCTAGGGATTAGTCCCTACTTCGACCTGTGGCGGTATCTCTTCACCGTCAACCTTTTGAAGAAGCGGGTTGGGAAGCAAGAGCTGAGCGTGCCGGTGGGATGTGCCGGCATTCATCTCCACAACAACCGGGTGAACGAATACCCGTCGATGCGTCTATCGACCTCCAACAAGGGGTGGCATTCGTATTGGTTTTACGTCAAGGATGATGTTGCTGCCCCTTGCCAGCGTTCTCCGGGCGCATCATCGAAGAGGTCCCGGGGTCGTGGAAGTGGGGTGTCCTGGACAAAGACAAGAGGAAGATCAAGGACCATCTCGCCGCCCTCCAAATTCTGAAGGAGAGGGGCATGAAGGGATCAGGGATCATTGGTGCCTACCATACGCGGAGGGTGGCACCGCTGATGAGCCGCGTGCTTCCCCTGTACCTGATGGTGCCCGGGGCATCGCTCGAAGGGACAACACTTGTTGATGAAGCACTCCCCCACCGAAGTGGCACAGTGCATCAAGAAGGCGATGAAGCCTTCGAAGGACAACGCCGGTGTTGTCCTTGATTTTGTGTATCCGGTGCCGGGGCATCCCCCAATGCGGTCGAAACCAGGGTTCATCGACTTTGTAAGATCTCTTTCCCCCATGCCTCCTTTTTACTTGAATTCCTGACCCCTTGATGCTGACCTCAGGATAGCGGGACCAGCCGAAGAGACTCGTCTTTGGGGATAGCCCGGTTCCACTGCCAAAGGATCGGCTCGTGGCGACGATGAATCACACCATGGCCGAGTGGGATAATAAGATGAAGGAGCTCAAGAGGAAGAAGATGCTACAGAAGCAGCAAGCACGGGAGCAAGGAGCGGAGACAGACAGTGATGACGACGATGAGGAGTATGGCAAGGTAGTTGCTGACATTGAGTGGGGCAGACTAGGAGGCGAGGATGAGCTGACAGGTGCCCACTCGTCAATACAGGGACCCTTCCCATTTCACACCGGGAAAGATGCGGCCATGAGGCCGGCGAAAGCGGGCCAGACCGTTGGCCCGTCCTCAGTATCGGTGGGAGCGGACGGATCCGCTACCGCGCTCGGGGTGCCGGTGGAGGAGGGCGGCTCTACCGCCGCACCCCATTTGCTGATAGGGGTGGGCGAATCTACCGCCGCACCTGAGATGTTGACAGAGTGGGGTGGCTCCGCTGCCGCACCCTCGGAGGTAGGGGAGACAAGCCCCTCTGCCCGGGAGTAGGGGGTAGGCTCAAAATGGTCCTACCCAGACGAATTAGAGCAGGAAACTAAGGGTTCGTCCCCAAAACGTCCCTACCGCCCAACAGCGCTAGAGTAAGTCACCGATTCCTCTGTTTTTTTTTCAGGGTGACCTTATGCCTTTTAACTCTTGCAGAGTCTTGAGATGGGGCCGTTCTTTGGCACTTGCGCCCAAGAAGAGCGTTGCTCTTTAGGCAGGACGGGCACCGTCGCCCGATGTTGCTCCTGTTTTGGGCAGGAGTGGAGCTGATGTTGCGGCCTCGTTGGCCAGTCAGGCACCGCCTGTGGTGGTGCCCATGCCCTCAGTGGGTCAAGCGGACGCTGGGGCTGACGGAGCGCCCACGGGGGTTGCCGAGCA